TATATCTTCTATTATTTTTACTGCCCCTTCTTGTAATTAGGTTCCCCTTAACATGTTTTACTAATCATACCCTTAAACCCATGCATATGCGTATGATCCAGGTTTAGTATCAGAGTATAGTTAATAGGACAAACTTGGGTCTCCAGACTCCTTGAGTTCAAATCTTGGTTCCAGTTACCAACTTGTATAACCTTAGAGAGATTATTTGACTGTCCACACCTTGGCTTCTTTATTTCCTCAGTGTAGAATAGGGATAATAATAGTGTTTGCCTCATATGATGATAAAGAAGATGGTAAGGATATTGGTAGAGAAGGAGTGATGAGAGAATCTGTGCAAAGTGTTCAATAAATGTCACCTGCTGCCAGGTGGGAATCATCCTTGATCCCATTTTCCCCATACTTCCCACATGTAGATAGATTATCAGCAAGTCCTAAGGACTTTCTTCGAAACACATCCTGATGTCTCCATCCTAGTGCAGACCACTGCCCTCTCCCACCTGCAATATTGCACAGCCTCTTAATTAGTCTTACTGATACTGTTTCTTGTACCCCTACCATCTGTTCATTTCAGAGCAGCTGAGGTAATTTTTTTAAACATAGATTGTGTCTTTTTCATGACTGGAACCTTCCAATAGCTTACTCTTTTACTTGGTATAAAACCCAAACTCCTTGTGTGGCCTTAGCCCTGAATGTTTTTGGCCTCTGCTTCCTTCTCATGCCAGCCCCCTAATTGCCCATTAGTGTCCAAGCACACTGGCATCCTTCAGGATCTGTGAGCGTGCCAAGCTCATACCTGCAATAGGGCCTTAACACTAGCTGTTCCCTCTCAGGAATGACCTTTCCCCATCCTGCCATGACTGGCTTTTTCTTGTATTCAGGTCTCAGCTCAAATGTCAGTTCATCAGAGAGAGCTTCTCCAACTACCAAATTAAGTGGCCCCTTCAATCACTATCTATAACAGGGCTGCCCAATCTTTTGGCTTCCCTGGGGCACATTGGAAAAAGAATTATCTTGGGCCACACATAAAATATACTAACACTGATAATAGCTTAAAAAAAACCATAATATTTTAAGAAAGTTTATGAATTTATATTGGGCCACATTCAAGGCCATCTTGGACCATGAGTTGAACAAGCTTCATCTATAATATTACATTATTTTATTTTATTTTATTGTTGAGACAGAGTCTCGCACTGTTACCCAGGGTGGAGTGCAGTGGCACAGTCTCTCCCACTGCAATGTCTGCCTCCCAAGTTCAAGCAATTCTCCTGCCTCAGCCTCCTGAGTAGCTGAGATTACAGGTGCATGCCACCACATGCTAATTTTTTGTATTTTTAGTAGAGACAAGGTTTCACCATATTAGCCAGAATGGTCTCAATCTCCTGACCTTGTGATCGCCCGCCTCAGCCTCCCAAAGTGCTGGGATTACAGGCGTGAGCCGCCCTGCCCAGCCTACTTTAGTTTATTTTTTATTATCTCCACTTTACTAATTATTTGTCTCCACTAGAATGCACGTTCTCTGAGAGCAAAGCCCTCATATTCCCTTTTCTCCTGTTTCTCCAGTGACAAGCACACTGCCTGGCTCATCATAGATGCACATCAATTTGTATTTGCTGAACCAATGAATTAATGATCATTGTATAATAATATTACTATTAATGTCTTTGCTTCCATGCTATAGGTGCTTTTCTGCTTTGGGCCAAGTAGCAAAAGCTCGATTCCTGCATGAGACCAATGAGATTGCAGATCGAGTATCCCGGGAATATGCAAGTATTATGCTCCTGATTCATTCCATCTCCCAAACTGATTTCTCGTAGTATTCAGCCCCATGGTTCCTAGGTTTCCAGCCATCCCTAGTTTCCTTTACCCTGCCCACCCCACCTCTACCCACCAGTCAGACCATTTCAGAATCGCTAAACCTCAAACCTTTAAGCTCCATGAAGTGTTTTACCTTCCCAAGTCTTCTATTTTTTACATCCTTCTGGCCTTTCAATCTCAGCCCTCACAGACAGAACGGCAGCACCTGCAGAAAAACCAGAACCTCCTTTTTCCCCACAGGGCGGAGAAGGGACAGACTTTTATCAGGTCCGAGCACGTCTAGCCATGCTGGAAAAGAACTACAAACTGGCTGAAATGATCTTTTTGGAACAGGTAACAGGAAAAGAGGGACAGGATGCAGGGGGGATATGAGGGAAAAAAAGGGAAAAGGGGGTGCAAACTCAAGGGAGGAAAGTGTGCTGGTGAGCGAGGCTTCCAAATGTTTGGGGAAAGCTTTCAGAGAGGTTTACATAGTTAATTTCACCCCTTCCTTTATTTCCTCCTCTTGTGTTAGTCCTTACTTTTCTAGACAAACTTCCTTCTTGGACCTTTGATTACTTCTTTCTTTCATAAGCAGTCTGCTTCCTCCCCTCCAGTCCGGAGCCTGTCTTTGCAGTTCTTGTGCATAGGGGTCGATCCACGTTTTGTTTGTGGCTGGAAACTTACACAATTTGAGGAGCTCTCTTTAAGAACAGGTGCCTTAGGCTGGGTGTGGTGGCTCACGCAGGTAATCCCAGCCCTTTGGGAGGCTGAGGCAGGCAGATCACATGAGGTCAGGAGTTCAAGACAGCCTGGCCAACGTGGTAAAACCCTGTCTCTACTAAAAATACAAAAAATTAGCCAGGCATGGTAGCACACGCCTGTAATCCCAGCTACTCGGGAGGCTGAGGTGGGAGAATCACATGAGCCTAGGAAGCGGAGGTTGCAGTGAGCCGAGATCGCACCACTGCACTTCAGCCTGAGCGGTAGAGTGAGACTCCATGGCAAAATAAAGAACAGTTGCCTTGGAAAGGGCCTGTGCAAATAAGGAACCCTGAAGCTTAGGCTTCTTTAAGTTTCCCAATATTTTTGCTGGTATAGTAGTTAATAGGTAAGGCTTTTGGTCCTCACGTGCTGCCATCTTAGCCAGGCTGAGGAGAACTTGCTGCTTTCTGATCCTCAAATCCTTCTGTCATCCTGTCTGCTCTGCCTGTTTTCCCTAGAACGCTGTGGAGGAGGCCATGGGCATGTACCAGGAGCTACACCGTTGGGATGAGTGTATTGTTGTAGCTGAAGCTAAGGTACCTGTTTTGACTTCTCCACAGTTGTTCAGAATTTGGTTCTGCCAATTTCAAAAACCTTCTTTTGTCAAGGAGGCCATAGAAACCAGAACAGGGTTGGGGCTTGGACTTGATGTGGTGAGGAGTTAGGATACTGCTGACTCAGGAGGATTTCCCTTGTTACAGAGGGATTGGAGAAGCTTGGGAGGCACAAGGGTAGGAAGGGCTGTGACTCCTAGTTCTCTGTGCGTGTCCAGGGGCACCCAGCCCTGGAGAATCTACGCCGGAGTTATTATCAGTGGCTGATGGACACACAGCAGGAGGAGCGAGCAGGTGAACTACAGGAGAGCCAAGGAGATGGGCTAGCAGCCATCAGCCTCTACCTCAAAGCTGGGCTCCCTGCCAAAGCTGCTCGGTTGGTGCTATCCCGAGAGGAACTGCTAGCCAACACAGAGCTGGTAGAACACATCACTGCAGCCCTTATCAAGGGGGAACTCTACGAAAGGGTATGCTCACTTCCTCTTCCTAGCCCTTATCTCCAGAGCTCAGGATGCTTCTCTCGCCCAGAGGAGTTTTGGGGCACAGAGCGCTTCCTGACTGCTGGTGTTCCCTTGTTTTTGGAGCTAATACCTGATTCTTTGTGTTGTAGGGGTACCATAGTAATGGGGTATGTGTTAACAGGCAGGTGATCTCTTTGAGAAGATTCACAATCCACAGCAGGCCCTGGAGTGCTACCGTAAAGGGAATGCGTTCATGAAAGGTACTAGCCCCCTATAAGCCATCCTTTACTGTTATGGACCCTTGCCCATCCGTCTCCCCAGCACCTCTTGGTGCGTGTGTTCAGGTTGCCTGGCTCCAGTTCTCCATTCTTCCCCTTCTCACTCC